GGGGGGGGGGGGGGGTGAAGAGGTTTCATCATGAAAATCATAAGTTGGAATGTGAGGGGTTTGGGGGTTAGAAGCAAGAGAGGAAGGAGCAGATGCTATTATTTTGCATGCAACCAAAAAGGAAATGATTGATAGAAGAATGATTAAAAGTGTTTGGGGCTCTAGATATAGGAATTGGGTATGTTTACCTTCGGTAGGTAGGTCAGGGTGTATTCTAATTATGTGGGATGAGAGGACTGTTAAAGTGGAGGAAGTAGTTGAGGGATAGTTTACCTTGTCAGCTAGGATTAAGTTGAGTGATGGGTTTGAGTGGTTGTTAACGAGAGTGCATGGTCCAAATAGTCCTAGGGTGAGAAGTAGGCTTTGCGAGGAAATATCAGGGTTGTATGGCCTATGTGGGCCACAGTTTTGTATAGGTGGAGACTTCAATATTATCAGATACCTTTCTGAGAGATTAAATAGGAGGAGGGTCACTAGGAATATGAGGGACTTTGATGATTTCATTAAGGATACCGAGCTTAGGGATCTGCCATTGGGTAATGGCACCTTCAATTGGTCAAATTTAAGAGAAAATCCGGTTTACAATAGATTGGATAGGTTTCTTTTTTCCACGAAGTGGGAGAATTGCTATTCGGGTGTTAGGCCGGAGCTTCTTATGAGAGTAGTGTCAGATTATTATCATGTAGTGATTGATTCATCAAAGGTTAGATGGGAGAATTGCTATCCAAGAATTAGGCAAGAGCTTTTTACAAGAATAATGTCAGGTCATTGTCTTGTAGTGATTGATTCATCAAAGGTTAGATGGGGTCCATGTCCTTTCAAATTTGAGAATATGTTGTTAGAGCAGCATGCATTTAGAGGAAAGTTTAGAAAATGGTGGAAGGAAAGAAGTTTTGATGGGTTGGAAGGTTTTCAAATTAATAACAAAATTGGAGCGTGTGAAAAATAAGGTAAAAGATTGAAATAAAGAAGTGTTTGGAGATACCAGAGTTACAAAAAATCTAATCATAATAGAATCGACAAGATTGATATCATCGAAGGGAATAGGGGTTTAGATGAGAGATTGAAAAGAGGAAAGTGGGAACTTAGAAATAAGTAAGAAAGTAGTGTTTAAGGAAGAAATTAATTGGAGGAAAAAGGTAAGGGTGAAGTGGTTAAAGAAAGGGAATAATAATTCTAAGTTGTTTCATAAAAAAGTAAATGGCAGAAATAAGAAGTCTATTGACAAGTTGGAAATGGAGAATGGGGTAATGATCGAGGATGAAGGAATGATTGAAAGTAAAATTGTCAAGTTTTTTACCAAGGTATACTCTTCTCTGGGGGGGTATTAAACCTAGGCTTGAGGGATTGGAATGGATCCCTATTGGTGAGGGTAAATCGAGGTGGTTGAAAAAGCCATTTGAGGTAGAAAAGGTGAGGAAGGCTATTTTGGAGTGTGGAAGAGACAACGCTTCAGGTCCGAATGATTTTACTTTAGCAGTTTATCCAGATTGTTGAGATGTTATCAAAGAGGATTTAATGAAAGTTTTCAATGAGGTCTTTTCAAAAAAAAGTGGTGTGGTGAATTCACTAATTAACTCCACTTTTATTTTGTTTAATCCCAAAGAAGGATAAGTCTTTGCAATTGAGGGATTTTCAACCAATTAGTTTGGTGTCTAGCCAAGTGTTGTGAAAACCGAGCCTAGGTGGGCGCCTAGGCGAGAAGCGAGCCTTAATCGCCTTGAGCATCCCAGGCGAAGCAAGGTTAAGTAAAGCGAGCCTGGGCGGCGAGGCGAAAAAGAGAGTCAGGCGACAAAAGCAACGCCTGACTACAATTTTTTTATTTTCTCCTCCCCCCACCTTCTCCTCCTTTTTTTTCTTCTTCCTTAAGATAACTAAACTCTAACAGAGATGATGTTATATGTGTATATCTATAAAATAAATTGATTGATTCATCTAACAGTATTATATGACAATTTGTTTTATTATGATTAGATGATGTTGAATGCTTTGCTTTGTTGTGAATACTCTTGTAATCAATTTGTTATATGCTCCATTTGATTAATCAATTTGTGAGTATTCTGTTTACTATTGATATTAATCAATCACGATGGAAGTCGAACCCATATTTGCTAGTTTAACGTTTAAATGACGTGATTATGTCAATTGATTATTTTTAGAATGCAATAATGTTCAATATTTAATATCTTGTCTATTTAAAATATGTTGATGTTTATTATTTTATTTGTATTTAAATATTTTGTATTTGTAAAGTTAAAACTTGAATATTTAAGAGTAATCAAAGTATCAAACTAAAATATTTTCTTATTTTTTATATTGTTTGCTTTACTTCGATGAAGTGCTCTCTTTGCTTTTCTCTTCTCGCCTAACCCCTCAAGAGACCGATTCACTTCAATTCGCTTTACGCCTTAAATAACATTGGTCTAACCTGCATAAGATCATTGTAAAAGTTTTATCTATGAGATTAAAGGAAGTTCTTAGTGAGACTTTTTCTGAATGTCAGGGGACTTTTGTGCAGAATAGACAAATTCTTGATGTTGCGTTGGTAACTAAGGAGGTGGTGAAAGATTATAGAGATAGAGGAAAGGAAGGTTTTATTTTAAGATTGATTTTGAGAAGGCCTATGACCATGTAGATTGGGAATTTTTAGATTATGTCATGGAGGTGAAAGATTTCGTGAAAGATGGAGAAAGTGAATTTTAGGATGTTTTCATTCTATGAATTTCTTAATCATGATTAATGGGAAGCCTAGAGGCAAGTTTAAAGCAACTAAATGTTTGAGACAGTGTGACCCATTATCACTATTTCTTTTTACTTTAGTTACTGATGGATTGAGTAGATTAGTGAAGAGGGCAGAGGGCGGTAATCACGTTAAAGGATTTCAAGTGGGAAGGGATGGGATAGCAATATCACATTTATAGTTTGTTGATGATACAATATTCTTTTGTGGAGGTAATGAGAAAAAAAAATTAAATTTCAAGAATATTGTGAAGGTGTTCGGTATTTTGACTGGATTGAAGGTGAGCATGGACAAGAGTCTACTTGTGGGTATAAATTCAAATCATGACAAAATTAGTAGAATTGCAGGTGTTTTGGGGTGTTAAGTAAGGGTTTGGCCTCTTAAGTACTTAGAGTTACCTTTGGGTGGAAATCCATTTGAAAGGAACCAGTGGTGGAGAGAGTGGAAAAAAGATTAAATGGATGGAAAAGAGCTTTTATATCACTAGAGGGAGGTTAGTTTTAGGGCATTCAGTTCTTGCTAGTATTCCCACGTACTTCTTATCCTTATTTAGGAGGCCACGAAAGGTTGCCATAAAGATTGAAAAAATGATGATGGACTTTTCGTGCGAAGGCAATGGTGAAGGGAGAAAGAATCATTTCCTTGTGTGGAAAGAGGTTACCAAACCTAGGAATAATGGTGGTCTTTCACTTGGTAATTTGAAAGCAAGAAATATTGCTTTAGTGGGTAAGTGACTTTGGTGGTTTCCTTTGGAACAAAATGTTTTGTGGCATTTAGTTATCAAGAGCAAATATGGGTTACAGACTAATAGATAGGACACTAAGAGGGTTGAAAGGGAGAGTTTCCAAAGTCCATGGAAATTCATATCGTAGGGAGTGACAAGGTTTTCCTAAGAGCTCAAGTTGGTTGTGGGTAACAGAATGATAGTTTGTTTTTTGGAGGATGTTTGGGTAAGGTAGTCATCTCTGTCCTATTTGTTTCCATGGTTATATCATTTATCATTGTATCATGATTCGACTATTGCTTCTATTATTGGTTCTTACAATCAACGTATTCTTGTAATTTTAGTTTCCATAGAAATCTAGATGATAAGGATATGGTTGATGTTTTATCTCTCTTGAATATTTTGTTGTGTCATGAGTATGTGATAGAAGAAGATGGGTTCTTGAGTCTTGGGGTGTTTATTCGTATAAATCATTTTATGATTCTCTTACAGATGATCTTTTGTGTCCTTTTTTTACGCATGCATGATGATTTGAAAAGCTAAAGTGCCGAAAAAAAGTGCAAGTTTTTGTATGGACCGATGCACATGATAAGATTAATGGTATGAATATGCTTCAAAAGAGAACGCCTCGCTCTTGTCTTTGTCCACAATGGCGTGTCATGTGTAAAAGGAATTATGAGAGTATTGATCATTTGTTTTTACATTGCCCAATTGCATTGTTGTTGTCGTACAAGTTATTTAGCTTAGTGGGATTGATATGGGTGGTTCCTATTTTAGCTAAATCTTCAAATTGTGTCATTACAGCTAATTTTTTGGGTTATTTGGAATGAGCAAAATGCAAGAATCTTTAAAAATTGAGTTGAGTGTAGGGAAGGTTTATGGGATCATATTTATTTGTAGGCATCATTCTAGGCTTGAGTTACTAAAGAATTCAAAGGAATCCCACTATTTTCAATTTTTGATGGATGGCAAGCTACATGTGATATATAGACTTGTTTTGTTTTATTTTGATTATGATTTTCTGTAATTGGTTGGATTTCTTATCCAACCATTTTTTTTGTAAATTGATTTTATTAATAAAATTTCCGTTTCCTATCAAAAAAAAATATCTTGGTTGTCAAGTGGTTTCAATACAAAAAATTAAAATTGAAATAAAAATGCAAAGAGACTTCTAATTCTATGCTAAATTAATGGTTAAGGAACAATCCTCTTATTTGTTACAAGTAACCCGTATGAGTCAAGAACATTGTCCATAAAAGTTGTGATAAACATGAATTTAAATTTAACTCATTTATATAGAAGCCAACTTGTTTTTTGAAAATCTAAATGTTGAAATATCTGATAACCTTTAAAATAGAAATATTCAATACCTAAAATTCAAAATAATTCATATGCAACACACAAATGCAATCTACATGTCATTTTACTTGAAAAACTATATATCTATAATATAAAACAGGACGGCTTCAACAAACTCATCCTATGATCTCAAATTTATTCATCCAACGGAAAAGAAATTACTTTTTTTTCCTTAATATTCTCCCCCAACTGGTCAACGATTACAAGTAATTTTGGACACATCCTACAATCTCAAATTCATTCATCCAAAGATCAATAAATTACCATTTTTTTTTAATATTTTCCTCCCTAATCGGTCAACAATTACGGTTGATCTTGAAACACAGGACTTTCATTAACATTATAATTAAATGAGTTAAATTTGCCATTAATATCATGTGTAGTGTAACAATTTGAATTTTTATAAGACATAATAATAACATTTTGATTAAAAAAAAACTCATCAATTTAACAAATTAAAAAAACAAGGGCGCTATTTAACACATTTATATTGAATATAATTTATTTAATTAATTATCTCAAACTAACATGTCTTACACATATCTTGAATCAAAAGTTCAAGACTAATTTTTTTTTTATCTCGTAAGGAAATCCAACGCTACTATATTCTTATAAATTAATAATTTTGTAATAACTTGTACTAATTAAAAAAATATTTTATACATGATATTTGTAAAACTTTTTTTGATAGAACATATTTTGGCGGTATGTTTTTTGATAAATTAGATTTTTAATTTATATTAGATTTGACTCGATTTTGATTATATATATATAAATTAATGTTCAATTTTGATTACATGTATATAAATTAATACTTTTTTTAAATCAATTCTATTATATTTCATGGATTGATCTATAATATAAAACAAAAAAGGCTTTAATAAGTTAATCTGACGGTCTCAAATAAACTCATCCAAGAACCATCAACATCTCTTTAAAAATCATTCACATTGAATTTTTCCTTCTTTTTCTTACTCTTCACTTTCTCTCTCTCTTTGACATTGGCGGATAGAGGTGGGGTCTAGAACCACCCCTAATATATATTTTTTTTATATATTCTTAATTGGGCCCGCTGTAATGATTTATGAAAAAGGAAATTATTTGGGTCAAACAAGTTGGGTATTAGAACAAAAAAAAAGTCCATACAAAATCTGTTAAAATTAGCAAACTAAAATTGATTCCTTAGAATATTAGAATGATTTGTTGGAGCTTCCTTTGGTTCAAAAATTATGAAATATATAGCCAAAAATGTGTAAAATATAGAATTTATAAGAAGATTAAATATTACAGAATATTACTTTTATTTGTGTCAAATCTATAATATTAAATATGACAGACTTCAATAAGTTCATTCGACGGTCTCAAATAGACTCATCTAACGGTCTCCAACATCCCTCTCAAAATCATTCACATTGAATTTCTACCCTCACAAATCTATCACTTCTCACTTACGTTGCACCGTGCCTTCAAGCACGGGTTACCCCTAGTATTATTTATAAATGTCAACAAACTTGGTTACAAATGTCACCAAACTGAGAAAACTTTTAGTTTTTTATTTTATTACCTATTAATAATTATAAAGTCAAGTATATCTTTTTCGATAGTCTAAAATTTATCCTTATTGTTTTGTGAACTGCCACATTTTGTTCATATCCAATCAAATCACCAAATTTAACCCATCTATTATATATTATGTATTACTTATTGGACTATTAGACTTTCTAATTCTTTTGCACTCTTGCAATCTTTTAGTAATTTCCAAACTCTTTTTGGCTTTCCTAGAACTATAGGTAGACACATATTTTCTTTCCAATCTATGTTCATGTAGCATATGTAGGCCTCTAGAACATAGATGTATTCAAGTTTCTAACTCCCTTCATATTGGATTATTAATCTTCTTGAATTGTTTATCTCAAATTTTTATCCTTAAAAAATTTAGTTCTAATTTTGAATTTCTAATTGGTGCTTAGTGTTATGGATATGAAATTATCTAAGTCCTAAGAAAATAAGATTTCTCCACTTACGGTGAAACATGGTCAACGTATAACGTATGTGTACACCAACTAATGCATTATAAATGATAATTCAGTGCAAAGAGATGAAAGGGTGTCTTACTGAATGAGATGAAGGGGTGTCTTACATTATTGCAAATAAAGTGCAACCTAATGACCAGATATCAGTTCTTTCGTCAACATCTGCATGGCTTGGGCAATCCCACAACTCAGGAGCCCGGAAAGGTGCAGAGCAGTGTTCAGATGCCCATTCCTACATAGTCAACATCCAGAAAACCAACCATAAGCACATTAGAAATCCAGCAAATTGGTTTAAGTTGCAAAGAGGGCACATTAGTAAGAGTGAGATCTCATCAAAATAAAGCGGTGTTCAAACAATAACTAAAAACATAATAAATGTGGAAACAAAATTTTTAGACATTATGAAGCAAAAATATAGAAATGGTTTTAATAACCAAAAAGGAAGTAATCTAACTTGCCGAGCTCTTGAACCATGTTGAAGGATATACACTTGAGTTACTCCCTCTCTAACGGCTTAAACTTTTAAAATAGATGGTGGTTTAATTGGGTATTAGAGTAGGAGGTCCAGTGTTCGAATCTTCCTGCCACCATGATTATTAAATAATTTCCACGTTGTAGGCCAAAAATCTAGTCTACATATAAAAGGGCATGTTGAAGTATATCTAGCTAAGTTGCACCCTCTCGCTTAAACTTTTAGATGAGATGTTCAACAACAGTGCTGACATGTATGCAATTATGTCCCACAAAAAACACACCATTTAAACATCATATGTCACATTGTATGTCTTCTTGAAATAATTCATTCATCTCCAAAACATTCATCCTGCACTCAGTAATTGGCATTATTATTAACTGACAGTTGGTAAGAGTTGTCTCTCACTGGTTACTCTCACATATATAAGTCCATCATAATTCATAAGTTGTACCTTGAATTCCTAGGTTGTACTTCCAGAACCATGCATTTTCCAAATGTTCTCTTATTGCCTGTACTTCAGCTGGGTTCATGTTATGCCTTCCATTAAAATACAACCACAAGGCAGGAGATAAAGATTTACAACTGTAGGAGATTCGGAATTCTGATATTTTCAATTCTATGGCCAATGGTGCTGGACCATACAAATTGCGAGTTTTCAAAGTCCATATATTAAGACCGATAAATAAACCTAGTTATTGGTGACCAGCTCATCCTAACCTTTTAGCATGCTAATCAAGCTGAGATCGAGGCTAAGCTTCCAGGTAAAGTTCAATGAGCCAAACTTAAGCAGCACAGACTACCATGTTTGTAAGTTGTAACTATGAAGCGTATTGGGGGATTCAATTTTTTAGATCTAAATAGCAATCGGAAAACTTACAAGCAGAGGACAATGAAAAGTTAATTGCATTGGAGGCTGCAGAGGAAGATTAGTTCTCACCTTTTCGTTAGAAATTCTAAATATAAATATTCGATAGTTCATGATTCTAGGTGACAACAAATCCAAATTTGAAGAGACTCATGAAGGCAAGCACTGAAGACTTTTTCTACCCTCAATCTCTCTCTCTCTCTCTCTCTCTCTCTCTCTCTCTCTCTTACACACACAATCCATTTAGTCATTCACATCTTTGTCCACCATCTACATTCTAATCAGTTTCATAGGACCTTCAATCTATGCCAAATTGTTCTTTTTCAACAGTGCATCCATATGTCAGCATTGCAAATACCCAAACAATTATAAAAAAGTCTCCCTAGTCCTCGGTGCCATCTGTGGCTTCTCCTGAGTTACTTGACTCCACCATATTTTGCAATGCTATTCATAAACATCAACATCCGGGTTGCAATCACGCACCTTACATACATGTTTCTTGGCATCCTAGAAACAAGTGTAACTGGTACTAAAAATGACAGAAAAGTGATGTTAGACAGACAAGTGAACCGTGTCAAACACAGCCTAAGCTTCGCATTCCAGCCAATCTAGCGAATGGCTGCAAGGCATCAATTAAAGCTTGTAAGTTCAACAGAAATAAGCCCACAGAGCCTTCTGCCTAGCCAAGGTTGGCTCTAACTTATAAATTCTTCAATCTATATACTATGTGTTTGGAGATGAGAAAAAAAATCATAGAATTGAACAAAAAATACAAAAGGGAAAAAACGAGATACAAAAACACAAAAATAAAGGCGAAAGAAAGCAAAAGTACCTGCAATTGTAATGCTTCTGAACGAGAGCGAATTTGTTTCCTTGCAGGACGAGCACTTCCAAAATCCATCAATATTGCAATGGGTGGCTGTCCTTTCATATGTGTTAGAAGAACATTACCAGGTTTGACGTCGTTATGTGCATATGGAGGCTCAAAATTGTGCATATGCTTAAGCCCTGCACAAAGCTGACGACGAATTTTTCAATCAGAGCTTCGAGTGGATAAATTCAGTACACAACAAATTAAGGATACCAATGCATCACATAACTGGTATTGTCACTGAAAGGGGAACACTTTGAATGCATAATTTGGCTCAATTTTAGAAAAATATCAAATGCAAACAACTGATATCTACATTTTAAAATAAAACCAAGTCAGTGGAACCAAAAAAACACAATAACTGAAAAATCTCAAAAATTGGTTGCTAACTGCTTAAAAGATGAATAACACTCCTGGTTAAATGAAATACTGGAAAACACATATGCAGAAAACTGTGATGTGAACACTTTCTTCTGAAACTTTTGAAATTGTATAAACCCAAGGAAGGAACTGCCATATACAAAGGACATTTTGTTTCTTATGTACCTGCCGAAAAATATGAAGAACATCTGAGGTAGAAAAGAATTCCTTCCTAGCTTTCATAGCATTGGCGTTGTCCAATAAAGTTCCATCCAAATGGACCGGAAACAACAAGTATGCTTCGTGCTTCCAAGCCTGATCTTGTGAGGCCTACCCAGTTAAATAGTCTTTAATAATCATGAAATTAGGGAAGATGGAAAATATGGTTCATGAAACTAAATAAAGGGAAATGTCAGAGAGGTTGCCTCCTAAATTGTATATGCTGTTACTCAAAATAAGTAACATAATCATGTAGTCATGCAAGGTATGAAGTGCCAATAGGCGATACCAAAGATTGAGTTGCATAGCCAGAGAGGCCTGGTGAAATTTTCAGAATACAGGCTTGGAGTAAGGAGCATCTAACCACAGGATGATCTCCCCTCTTGCTCACAACATGCTCAAGTGGGGTTCAAGCTGTGGCCTCTCCACACTTGGTTACTGAGAAATATGATCTGACAAGACTACTGGTAACAACAAAGGAAATGGTAGCTCCCAAGTATTCAAACAAATCAATATTAGTTGAATGCAACAATTACCTTGACTGCAATTATAGCATGATCAAGGAGTGGAAGGAGATTGGGATGGCCAAACAGAGATGAAACACGAATCTCCTCCCTCACCAGCTCTAGCTGCTCGTTAGTTTGAATGAGAACTTTCTTCATCGCATAAGTTCCATCATCTGGAATACGAAACCAATCCAAAGAATATTAGAATTTTCTTTCTCTTGTTTCCGATTTCTGAACTTTCCAAATTCTCAAATCACAGAAACGTTTGCGTGGGTCATAACAAACTTATAGCTGGAACACCAACAGGGCCTACCTTGAAACATAAACATGTATAAATTTTTAGACACACCAGCCAGTACATCAATATAAGAGACTGACAATTCACAAGAACCAATATATACATAAATTTTTTAATCATATTATCAAAAAAGTCAAATCTAAGCAAACAGAACAAAAAATTTAAGGGCCAGTCAAGATTTGAGCAGGTTTTCTACCGTTCAACACTTTTGTAAAGACAATAAAAGTCCATTGATTTTCAAAGAATATTGCAAGAGACGCACCATTTACAAACCCATATATACACCAATTTGATTCTCGAGTCAAACGACCCATAGAAATTTTTAACATACAAACAACATCTATACTATGAAGACGCAACCCATTAAGGCCCATCATTAAGAAACTCAAACATAAACCAATTCTCAAAGCACAGGTCAATTCACACAAAATATTGCCTTACACCACCACCGACATATTTTTCGGTACCGATTAAGATTTCCAAAGCAATGCAACAAACCCATAATAAAATCCCAACTGAAGATCACACCAAATCTAAAATCCCAACTGAAGATCACACAAACGATAAGCGAATTCAAATAACCACTTAACACAAAAAAACATTTAATTACATGTTCAGATCCAAAATTACATAATAAATAAATCAGATGAATACAATAAAGAATGCGATCGAAATTGAACCAACCGGAGATGAAAGAAGAATCCTTAAGTTTCTTTGAGACGCCACCACCGGAGGCTGAGTCGGCGACTATTTCCTTCACGAGGTAGACATAGGCAAACCCACCTTCGCCGAGCTGCCTGATGATTCTGTACCGGTTCTCATTGATCCACACGTCTCCGCCTCCATTTACGGCGTCGTACAGTGCATTCAGTCCCGAAAACGAGCATCCCATCTTCTGCTTAATGGTTTGCTCTCTCTCGGTCCCTCTCTGTCTTCCTCTTGTATGCCTGTAGAGACTCTCTCTCTCTCTGGAAGTAAATTCACCCAAATAGTGGATCTCCAACTCTCTCTCTCTCTCTATAAATATAGGGAGTAGGAGTAATTAATTTGCTTTCCGTTTCTTACAAGTTTGTGCTCTGAATCGGGATCAACCACATACCGCAACGCACTCGTTGGTGAGTGTCAGGACGACTCAGGTCTCATGGTCAAGGTGAAATGTTGGGGTGAATGAGGGTAAAATTGACAATTCAAGTGATGATAATAATTATAGGATTTACCTACCAAATAAAAAAGTGTTAATTACTTTCGGTCCCCAAAGTATAAATTTTGTCTTATTTTGGTCTCAATGTTTCAATTGCATCATTTTAATCCTTGAAGTATTGAATATGTTTTTATATGATCCCTCAAGCAAATAATGTTCATATTACTAAGGATTATTAATCATAAACTTATCACGTAATACTTAAATATAGACAAAAAATAATTTTGATAGTTCTTAAATAAAATTTAAGTAGTTCTCATCAAAAAAATGTGTAATATGGGCTATTTTTGACCAAAATTTAAATAGTTCATAATTAAAAGTGTGTAATTTAGATAGTTATTTAACCAAAATTTGAGTAAAAATTTGGTCAAAGATTATCCAAATTATTTTTTGTCCATATTTAAATATCACGTGATAAATTTATGACAAAAAATTGTTAACTATCTAAACGATGTATGTTTGAGGGACCATATAGAAACATATTCAATATTTCAGAGACTAAAATTATGCAATTGAAATATTAGAGACTAAAATGAGACAACTCCATATTTTGAGGACCTTCAGTGTAATTAACCTAATAAAAAAAATAATGCTAGGATTTGGTGTAGTGCATAATTTCCAGTTTTGTTTCATCCTTAACCCAAATTTTTTAATTTGAAAATTTAATTCATTGTAGTCGTTAGATTAATTGTGACTTCTAACTTCTAACGAGAGATAAAATCAACATTTCATGTAAAAGCTATATTAAAATTTTAAATTAGATCCCAAATTAAATAAAAATAATATTTTTCTTTTTTATTCTTTGGTTACATGTTAAAAGATAGAAATAAGAATTAACAAGGTGGTGCTGCAAAAGTCATTACTAAATTTTGTTTACCAAGCCAATGTAATGGAAGTGATTGGATTAATGGAATCCATTATTATTATTAAATAAGTGTCTTGATATCAATATTAGCATTGTTCTGGTTGATCTAAGATTACGTTGATTATCCTCTCGAATCCATTTTCTTATTAAGACCACCATCTTTTTTTAAGGAACGTCAACAAATTGGTTTTGGATCTAATTCTAACTGATCCAAATTCGAATCATATTTCAAAAGTTTGATCTAATAATCTGATATATTTTATTTTCGTAGTCTATATTCAAATCCGTTAACAATTTAAAAATTGGATCCGATTCGAATAACTTAATTAATTAAATTTTAATAAATTATATCTAAATTTATTTAATATTTATATAAAAATATATAAATAATTCAGATCGAATATAGATATATCTAAATTCAAATCCGTAAAATATAAGATATTAGATTCGAATTCAAATTATTAATAAAAGATATTAATTCATATCCAATTAATAGTATTTTCACTATTTTTATTCAATTGAATTTGAATCAGAATCCAATCTATCGTCAAATCTATTTGTTTGTTGTATATCTAATTTAGGTTAGGCAGCTGGTCCACACATAGATTGAATGCCCTATGCTTAGCCATGAATGATGCGTCAAAGCGTCTACGAGTACAATTTCGTGATCGCCTTCATCTTAACGACAAGGGAAAAATAAATGGATCTGACACTTTAATCTCTCACTTATCTCCATAGCATAAAAAAAAAATCACTAACTTACCACTCACCTCACCATCGTGTCTCTCGGTCTCATGACATGATCTTATGCTTAGCTATATGGCTTAATATTGTTACAAACTAGAATAAATGTTGCGGGTGTCCGTAGAATTTCTTTCATATGTTAGGGTCTATATGAAATATTTTTGTAAATAAATTATAAAAAAAATATAATATAATCTTATCTAAAATAAATATTATCTTCTTTGTATGGTCCCCAATATAAAATAATTCAATCAACATACTTCCTATTGCCAAAGAATCATACTAATCCACTTCTATCTCTCTGTTTTTATCTCCCCTACTTCTTTTTTATTTTCTCTCTCTTCATTTTAATTCTAAATATAAAAAATTATTATTTAATATATAAAATATTGTACAATCAATATTCAATTTTTAGTATTATAGAGTGTCTTCAGACATGTGGTTATTAGTGGTCTATTTAATATATATCTAACAATTTGAATTACATATTTATAAAAATACAACACTGATCGAGATTAATCCAATTTTCATCAAATTTCATCTAATGATATAAAATTCATTCAAAAGAACAAAATCGCTTAGAAACATTATTTTCTTTGCATAGTCTCAATGTCAAATAATTCAAGTAACACACTCATTAATGACTGACAATTCCAATAATCAACACACACGTCTCTCTCTTATTTCCCCCCGTCCACTTCAATTATAAATTGTGTAATTAAAAAAATGGATTTATTACATTGGAGGTCCCCAAAGTATAAAAATTGTCTCATTTTGATCATCAATATTGAATATATTTTTATGTGGTCTCTCAAATCGACAACGTCTAAATTGCTCTTGACATGTAATACTTAAAATATGGGCAGAAAAATAATTTGAATAACTCTTGACTAAATTTTTACCCAAATTTTTGTCACTAGCAACCCATATTACATATTTTTGGTCAAAAACTACCCAAATTTTGGTCTACAATTATCTAAATTATTTTTTGTCCATATTTAGTTATCACATGACAAGTTTATGAACAAAAGAGCGCTAGAAATTTGGATATTGTCTACTTGAGAGACCACATAAAAACATATTAAATAGTTCAAGGACCAAAATAATACAATTGAAATATTAGGAACTAAAATAAGACAAACTCTATACTTTAGGAACCTCCAATACAATTAAACCTAAATAAATAAATAAATTATTATTTAAAATATTAATGTTACAATATCAATGCTCCATTTTGAATATTATTGAGTGTCTTCAACACAAGTTATTGTTAATTATAGATATGCCATATGCACACAAAATATCTGACGATGATATTCTTAAACAAATTAACGTCATATATATTATCTCATTGACTGATGGCTAGCCAAGAATTCAAACATGTTTTCTTGTCAAAATTCAATAACCGTCAAGTAATATTGTGTTGGTTTTACATAACAATTAATCAACATTGAGATCAATTATCGGGAGATATGAATCTATGCTACAAAAAAGCAATAATCCAAAACACAAAGATAGACATGGTTGGATAGTATTTGTATTAGTTTTGCATAACGATTAGGTAACACTGATATCAATTATCGGGAGATTTGAATTTATAATACAAAACACAAAAATAGACATGATTAGTTATTCTTGTATTGGTTTTGCACAATGATTAGTTAACACTGATATCAATTATCGGAAAAGATGAATTTATAATACGAAAAAGCAATAAAACAAAACACAAAGATAGACGTGGTTGGATATAGTGTACTTGTGTTGGTACAGTATGCCTGCATACACAAACCAAAGAACTATATCGATGTATTATTCACTAGAAATCTGATAAGCAATTATATGGTATTTAACCTTATTTATAAAAATAAAATAATATCACCAAATCTACTAAGATACTAATAAATTTTTTTGTTGTTCTATCATGTCTCTAATAAACCTATTCAAAATATATTAAGACTCTTCAAATTATTTTCCTATTTGATTTAGGGTTATCGCATGTGATTACCCAATAAGCTCCTTTTCATGTGTGAACCACATAGAACATAGCTCTCTCTTAACTTTGATCCACTTACTCTCTTCAAGTACCACGAGAAAATCTGTCATTATGAATCGTCACAATCCCCTCTATCTTTTAAAAGCTTGCGTCTTGGCTCACAATATTCTATGCGTCTCACCCTGCGCCCTACCTATGCCCGTTAGGACTCAACGGCCAACTGTCTCACCAATCTATCAAGGCAAGTAGCCTACAAGGCACTAAATCAATACTAAGTGCATGTTGACCAGTATAATCTTAAACCTTTGTCTTAACATATCTACAACTTAAGAGCCTAAACTCTCAAAGATTTGTCTCTTAAATACTAGCACACTACATTGCTTGAAGAATTTCATAAAAATCGTCAACTAACTGATTTGATGGTATTAGTTGGGGATATAAACACTTCATCAAAAAATTCAAAATTATGTTCTTAATTTACGTAGGTTGAAATTAAATTTTTGACCATGTAGTACACACTTGGCTAGGGGATCATTTTACACCATGAACACCAACTTGATCATTGGATTGCCAACTATTTGCTCTGATGGTTGTACTAGGATCATCAACCTAATTCTGATTTTTCCCCCTTCGGATAGTTAATATAGTTTTGATAGAGTTAATTTAGGATCAACAACATAATTTGAATGAATTAACCTATGATGGTCAATCTAGTTTTGAAAAAGTTGACCCACGATCATGACTAACCTGGTTTGATGTCCCTTGTTGGTTTTTGTGCAATTGATTAATTTACATGGAGACCAATTGTAGGGAGATAGAAACAAAATTGAAAAAATAGTAAAACAAAACGCAAAGATATGTGTTTCTACAACTTAAAGATTGTTCACCAAAATGTAGGTTATCGCAAAGTAATATAATACTCGGAAGTCTGACGTTGAACAATAGGGAATTGTGAAAAACTTAGAACACAAGAAAAAATAAAAATAAAATTATTTAAGAAGATTTTTGTAGAGATTTGAAAAAATAGTAAAATTAGTTTTAAAACAATATGAGAAAATACTAAAGTATTGAGGATACCCTTTCAATTTC